TTCTTGAATACAAGTGGCCAGCTATACATACATACATACCTGTCTACTTTCACAGTTTAATTCTAATGTCTTTGCCTAAAACTCTGAAATATTATTCACTAATTAAATCTTGGCATCTAGAGTTAGATGTTATCTTTCCTGCATAGCCCCAATAACTTCACTTCTTGCCCTTTCTTACACTGATACAATGGCACAAGATAATCTTCTACCTTAAGTGGTTTTTAGGCCCTGTAGTGGATTAAAAAAATTTTCAATTTTTCATTGATATAGATTCAATATTTTGTACTTTTGACCAAATATGATAACAAGAATCACTTTATTGGTCTTTTAATTTGATTTTTCAAAATAAAATTGTTTTTTTTATCATTTTTATTAATTCTATAAAAACCTATATATAAGAGCATTACAAACCAAACGATATATCTATAACATTTTAAATAAGGCGTTTGCAAATCCTACAGTACTAATCGTGTGAAAATGACCCACAATTTAGATACTAGGTTAAATAATATATGCAGCAGCAGAATTAAATGGAATTAAAAGAGCAATTTTAAGAAATGATACTTGTTGAGAAATTAGAAATGTCTTTGCATTTGACTCATGTTCATATGCAGCAATTATCTGCTGTAATAATTCATTTATGCTATAGTAATATACACCTTTGATGAATTCATGTAAAATGAATGTTTACACAAAGTGACTTATTATCTTACCATATAGGAAAATAGATTTAGCATGACTTACCATTATTTCCTGACCAAATCTTTTCCCGATAAAACTCATAGTATCGATTCATCCATGCAAGGAGAATTCTCTCAGCTGTGCTGTAGACATTGCTGCAAAGAGGATCTGTATTGACAGATGGCATCTTGAGATTTTCATTAGCCATGGTTGTGTTCTTCAAAACTCTGGGTGTGATTTTGGATAAAACTAAACACTGAAAAATACAAAGAAAATCAAAGTATTTCAGATAACTTCCTAAGAAATCAAAGTGAAAGGCAAATCAATGAGATGGGAATTTCATGAAAAATTACAAAAATCCTTGTATAGAACTGTGTGCTTCACAGTTCCAATAATGCAGTGTTTGACTGTTGTACACATGAGTACATGTCCAAGGATAAAAGATGAATGCTTGTTAAAGAGAGCACTGTCACTTATGCAGTGTCAACCATGTTGTCTGAATGTAAGCTAATGTTTATTTTTGACACAATATGTGTTGTGTTTTAAAACTCTGTACCATATTTTTCAATGTGTTAAACTATAGATGAATTTCCAGCTACTCTTTTTATTTCATGTTTTTTTTCAGTTATTTTATTCTATGTAAAATATTAATAATTTATCCATGACCTCCTTGAATCCCCAAGAAATAAGTTCAGTGACACTAAGTGAACTTCAACAGCTTAAGTTTGTCTCTCCATGAGAAAGTTACAGTTAAGAAAAGAGGCCATTCAACACATGATATTCAAATATCTCAGCCAGGAATATGCAAAAAAAGAAGATATATTTGTATCTTTAATTCTGAATGGTACCAATGGAAAAAGTTGGTTCTGTGGCTGTAAAGTGAAAAATGCATTGTTTTACCTCCTGTGTTTGCTGTTTGAAGGTGTTGTACATGGACAAAAGATGGTTTTAGAAATATAAACAAAAAGAAAGTAAAAACTGAAAAACGTGAGAAGTCAAAGAAGTATATTGAAAATGTGGTTTCACTGTCACTTTTAGGAAATGTAAATATTAAGGATAAACTTAGAGAGACATATAGACTTTAAATGAACAAACATGTAGGCTAAAAAGAGCCATGAAATTTTATCCAAAATAATAAACTGTATTTCATTTTGTGGAAACTTTGTAAATCCCTTACTGGACATGATGTAAAAGATGATTCAGTAAATCCAAGGGTATTTAGAGGATTAAGAAATTTTTCATCTAAGAACCAGATTTGAAGAATTGCTTAGAAACCAGTACATTTTTCAAAGGTGTTTCTAAAATGACTTATAATGAGATTGACTGCTAGCTACAAATATACTATGATAAGATAAGGATAGAATATAGTAAAGCTTCTTTTTTTAGCTGTCATAGCTGATGACACAACAGATGTTTCAGAACACACTCAGATGGTCATTGTTCTATGCAATGTGTTGAATGGAGAATTATTTGAGTTTGTTTGGGGATTCTTTATTCTAGAAAATCAAACTGCAGATAGTGTATAAAAATGTATCCTGGAACAATTAGCCATAATCCTTCAAGGAAATGGACAAAGATTGATAGCTTAATCATTTGATGAAGAAAATGACATGAAAGGTAAAAAAGAAGGAGTTCAAGCAAAAATAAAAACAGTTTATAGCATTGCATATTTCAGTCACGGTTATACACATCAAGTTAATTTAATAAGAAGAAATGCAGTAAGTATTACACAGAGAATGCAAGAATGTTTTTCTCTAACATTTTGATGATTCCAACATTCTTCTCAAGATCACCACATCATGTATTCATTCTTAAGAATCATATGGGTATCAGCATTCCATGTTCATTCTTTACATGGTAAAATGTTAACATACTGACCATGAACAAAGTTCATGAAAATTTGCAACCTTTAAAAAGCTACCTTACTGAAATTCAGTCAACATCAAAGGCAGATCAAACCATTGGAACTTTTTGAGCAGATTTTGTCTCTTGTTGAAGAAATTATTGTTTTTGAAGTCAATGAATACATAACAGGTTTCAAGACTAGTATTTTAAAAATAAGATATTCCAAGTTCTGTGAGAATCCTTCGAAAATAGTAATGGCAGAAGAAGTGTGTAACTGCATACGAGTTGATATAATGGACAGATATTCTTTCGCTAAACACATCATAGCTGCTAAATTGTTCAACAAGAAAATGTTTACTAGTTTTAAGAATGAACTGCCTACAGAAGAAATATTACTGACCACTGAAGGATATCCTGGGATTGACAAAGAAAATGTTTAAACTAAACTAAAAGTATTCTATTGTAGATCCAATATGCATGAATATTGCAAATTAATTGAGTTGCTGAAATTTATCTTAAAAATGATCTAGATGTTGTTCTTAATGAAATGATGAAAATAATAAAATTCCTTTTGACAATGCCCATGTCTATATCAGAACTGGAATGCCGATTTCAAAACTGAAAAAAATAAAAAAAACTTTCTTCAACAGTCATCCAGAGATCAAAGAAAAAATAATTAACCTTTTCATTCAAAGCAAAAGACAATTTTGAAACCCTCATTTTGTAGAAGATTCATAGAGTTCTCTTTGGGCTCCATGCTGAAAGGATAAAAAGAGATTTCAAACTTCCCCAGCATTAGAAGAAGGATGGTGACAACTGAGAGGAAAACCCATGATCAATAATCTGATGCCATGAGAATGCCAGAGTTTGTTGCTGAAGTCCAAGATTATATCTACAATGATACCTGCAAAGCAATGTATGCCAGTACCAGGGAGAAAGATGGCAACTCTTTCGACTCCTTTGTGTGGGGCACAGTGGAACCAGAGACCAACAGATCCAATTGCAAGACAAAGGATAAGCCGAGTGGCCAGTATCACCACAGCCTACTGAGATCTACGTCAGAGATGAATGCCTATGGTCGGATCTGAGGTTGTTATCTTAAGACTGTTGTCAAAGCCAAAGGCAGGTTCATTGAGTACGATCAAGTGGGTATGACATGAAGACAAACACACAAGTTTGGCAAATATAACTAAAAAAAAAAAACGCTTATTTTTTCCCCAGGCAGTAATCTTGCAAATGAATACCCTTTGCACCCTATATATATTTCAAATCTAATGGGCAGCTAGGCATCATTAACTGTGAAATATACAACTGTAGAAATAAAAATAGATGTCCATTAGATGGAGTTTGCAAAACTGAAGCAGTAATTTACAAAGCAGAAGTAATAGATACAAATGGTCAGAAAAATTATACATATGGTGTAGTAAGGACAACACTGAAAAGAGGTGGTACAATCATAAGTCATCTTTTAAGCTAAGAAGCCTTAGAAATTCTACTAAACTAGCCAACCATGTGTGGAAAGTAAAAGAAAAAATAAAAAAGATCCAATAGTAAACTGGAAAATTTTTAAAAAAGCAAAACCTTTCAACAATCATAGTAACATCTAAAGCCTTTCTCAACCAAAAAAATTAGGTATAATAATATTTCCAGACCAAAATATCTTTTGAGTCAGAAATTATGACTCATAGTATACACACTAAAATGTTCCTTTTGAGTTCACATGAAGTGAGATGAAACGAAAGTATGTATATTTCATTTAATCCCCTACCAATGCATTTCCAATACACTTGATTTTCCCCTCCTCCATGTGCTTATTCATTTATTTATTTATTTAAAATATAGTGTTCATAAATTTTTAATTTTTTAAAAATAAATCATTAGGAAATCAATTGACCAACATCGACTCTAGATACCAAAAGGTTTGACCAAGGTAGCAAAATTGGCTGTTTTCCTCATTTTATATATATATATATATATATATATATATATATATATATATATTACATCAAAAACATGTCAAAAAATGATATTACATTAAACATGTCATTAAATTCTAAATTATAATCACCTGATGATGACACAGACAGTGATATGCATTGAAACACGACTGCAATTGTGTAGCAAATGTTTTCTATATGAATCCTAAAATAAATAATGTTGCACTACTTTATATTGAGCCCTAAATTAAATGATATGAATGTTGAAATTGTACTCTATTCATTCTCATCTTACCTGAATATATATATATATATATATATTATATATATATATATCCTAAAAATAAATTTCAATATTAACTCTTTCTTTAAATGGAAGCTGAAAGCTTCTCTTTAATTTGTAAAAATTAAAAACATTAGTTCCATTTCAATTAAAAAATCAAGTTTGAAATGAAATGTACTAATAATTCAATTCTCAAATCTTTCACCCATTTTTGAATATATATATAAAAACATTTTAAATATATATATATATAAATTTACATTGAGCACTATTTTGTAAAAATAAAATACCAATAAGAACTGATTATATATCTTGCTGTTCTTTCATTTTATTTATTTATACACACACACACACACACACACACACACACACACACAATAATATATATATATATATATATATATATATATATTTATCCTCACATTATTTATCAATGCTATTTCTTCTTTACATTCAATGCAGCTGTTATGTATTAATGAACTCATTTGCAGGACACTTACCTTGATGACCTGCAAAAGTGTTTCAAGCCAGGCTCTTTTAGAAACTAATTCAAATACATCTTTATCCATTAAGTATTCATCATTATTGACTGGTTGTTCACTTTTTCCTGCCATTTCTTGCATTTCAAGTATCTTCCAAACATGAAAATCAGAAAATTCCATCAAATATTCAGGCTTAATGGATGCTACACATCCACCTTGGCACCTAAGAAATCAAACAGAGAGAAGATATAATTTGAGGTTTTATTATAAAATCTTCTGCCATACAATTTCATTTTTCAAGCAAAGCATTCCTAAAGGGAATATATTCTCAGTGGTCCTGAGGTTAGGTCAATGATTACCACATGTGTACAAAAAACAAAAATATAAGAAAATAGCACCATAGGTGTGTCAGAAAATGTTTTAAAAACATGCTAGGCTCCTGGAGAGCAACACACTGTGCCTTATTTGCCTCACATTTTCAACTGACTTAAAGTGGAGCAACTACATCAAATCAATAGCCACATCTCTTCTAAGGAAAAATGGGTTACATTGTCATTATTAGTACACTTCTCCTGCTGGGTCCAGAGGATATAATTGTCATCCATGCATCTAAGCCACATGGCTGGCTTTAGTGGTAACATCTCTTTACTCCATGTAGATGTTTGCTACAAGTTAAGATGATGGTGATCTCACAGATAAACCTTCTTCCTGCCATTATATTTCAAAACCCAACTGAAAGTATTTTCTACACAGAATGTCAACATCTCTATCATGTTAGCTTACTGGACAATTGTGTGTTCTTCAAAGGTGAGATCTGATTCTAAATTGTTTCACAGCACCAATAGAGCCTCATTGGTGGAAACATCTTAAACATCCAATCATTTGCATTTATTCTTTCTCTGCTCCATTGTGGGAACTAGGCTGACAATGTCCAAGCTGACTAACTTGTTGTATGAGTGCCCCATCTCTGATGCTTTCCACATAGTGGGCAGACCTCTTAACATAAAAGTGAAACTTACCTTTTAATGAGTTTATTATAACTATAAGTGAGTAACAGGCTAAGCTCTGACAACTGATTATTCAAGTCTAGGGTTAACTGTTAATCAATTCTACATATCCTCATAATATGTGTTTTTTTCTTCCCTTATGCCCTGACAATAACATCATTCATTAACCCTTTAGTTTGAGTGGCTCTTGAGCCTTGTATTTGTTGAATGATAGTATAAAAATATCCAAGGTAGACTGATTTATTAGATGACTTACTTTCATCATGCCACTCACATATTGTTACCTCAACTTTCTTGCTCTTATGATACCCCACTAATCTATGATTATAAGCTTGAGTGAAATAGCATCTCTATGGATTATGGGAATATTGCACACTATAGGCCCATCCTTTGGGACCACTTTTTAGATTAAATAATTAATAATTTTCATACCATCTTTGGTTTAATTAACTCCTACCAAGCTAGGATATTGAAACTAACCAGTTAGTGTACGGTGTCCAATATTTTACAGAGCGAGGTTATCAAAAATTTTATATCCACCAGCATTAAGGGTCATAAGCCAGCAAAGTTAGATTTGGGCTAAAAACAATAAGGAAACTTTATGCAATAATGGGTTAATTTCATTACTATTATTATTGTTATAAGGACGTGTATGGTAGCATGGAAGAACAAAACAGAACAACAGTACCACCAAAGCATGCCATTACCAATTAAGCTATGGGAGACCATTGTGATAAAGCAAGGCTCAATTACCTGTTTAAGGAATGCACACCTCTCATTAGGACTTCTTCAAAGTTATATCTGTTAGGATTATTTTCATATCCATAACATAAACACAGTAATTTTAAAATGGATTTTTAAAACCAACATTATTTCCTATTACTTTTAATTAGTAATAAAAATCCATTTAAAAATGTATACATATATCTATACACTGATACTTGTCAAGGCTGAAAATACATTTAATGACTTTTTGCTGTTTCTTGCTCCTGTCTATATTTCTGAGATGAGGTATTATGTACACTATTTATATTGTTCAGACTATCATTCTCATCTTTGTTGCCATATTTATCACAACGTTTCAGCCGTTGTACACTCCAGCCTTCTTCAGGTGGTTGGAATGCCAAACTGAACCCTTTATTTCGATCACTGGGGTAGACTGTTCTGGTTCCACATGCCATATCAAATGGATGTCAGTTATCCGTTATCTCCTGTTAATTCCCCTCTCCAAGTTCTCCACTGCCTTAACCAGGTATTGAACTCAAATTCTGTCCTGTCACTGGATCTAACTAACATCTTTATCTACTGTGCCACATGTCCCCGAGGACATGTGGCACTGTGGATAGAGGATGAGAAATTAATAGGAGATAATTGATAACTGACATCCATTAGACATGGCATGTGGAACTAGAACAGTCTACCCCAGTAAGTGAAATAAAGGGTTTAGTTTGACATTCCAACCACCTGAAGAAGGCCGGAGCATACAACAGCTGAAATGCTGTGATAAATATGGCAAAGGTGAGGATGATAGTCCAAACAATGTAAATAGTGTTTTTGCTTGTCTGGTGAAATAGGGAAGTGTGGTTTGCTTAACTTATAAATACTTCCTTTGTTTAACCATTAACCATTGTGACAAGCCCATGCCAAGATGTTTAGCAAAGTGCAAGAACTGGTAGATATATGCCTTTCCCAAAGAGCATTATTGCAATGTAAACATAATAGACTCAAACAGAATTCAAACTTATATCGCCGGTTTCTTTTTCCAAGAAAACCATTACATCATTTGCGATAGAGTGATTACTCACTTGAGAAATGTCAATAATAATGAGTGCTGGCAATGTATCTGCTTCACCCTCTCGACAGGATGGGCTGGGATGGTTGGAATACCAGTGATGCCAGGCATTGAGCGACCAGTCAAATATTTTATGCAGTGGTAAATGGTCATTGGCTCCCTTTTGCTGCTCTGGGTTCTCTGTGCTTTCTCACCTTCAAGGACACCAATAGCACTATAAAAATAAAAGAAAAGAAAAAAGAAAATACAGGAAACTCCAGTTGTTTAGAATCTGTTCATAGGACAAGGATGGAGAAGATCCTCCTGACATATGGCATCAGCTCTGAGACAGTGGCTGCCATAATGATGCTACACAGAAGTACCAAATCTTTGGTGAGATCCCCAGATGGAGACACTAGCTTCTTTGACATTAAAGTAGCGGTTTTTCAGAATGACACCCTTGCACCTTTTCTCTTTATCATCACCCTTGACTCTGTATTGAGATCTTCTCTCAACAAACATTATCATCTAGGTTTTACTTTATTATCATGACTCTCAAGTTGATATCCTGTAAAAACATTGTCCGATATTGATATTGATAGTGTGAACACAGGAATTAACACTGCATGGTGACATTTCAAATGATCTTCAGGCACTTGCCACTGCTCCTTTCATAGGCTATCTATATAGGCCACTGGATGATTAAGGGAAGTATGGGCAAAAGGAAACCAGCCCTTTGCATTTCTTTTATTTCTAGAAACTATATAGGGGGGGGGGGCTTCCTTACTTTGTTTGATTCAGCAGTAGCAGAAATGGAAGTAATCTGAAGGGTACAAGTGGGAGTCCCAAAAATCATAAAAATGCTAACCAATTTTTTTCTTTTTCAGCAGTCACAACCTTAAAGGCCCAGCTTGAAAGGCTATTCAAAACTTGCTGCAGAAGACACAAGGCCTGTTCTGGCAGCTTTACTTCAGATTTTATCATTCCTTGGGAAGAAACTGCCTGAGTGAAACTTGCTCCTTATCGATGGAATATGAAGCGAATGATGAGTTGACCCAGTGAAAATAACATGAGAGTCTGAAGTGGTTGAACAAAGGAATGTAGCTCATTTAAACATTTACCATGAAAATGACAATAAAGTAGTGTAAAGTTAGCAGTGTTTCATCTGTGAGTAAGTAGCTGTATGGCGGAAAATAATTATTCACTCACAAAGCCATGTAAATAGTTTTGAAATCTGTCAAGACTGGTTTATAAGGATATGTTGGGAAGATAATGGTTAACTCCAGGCTTGAAGAACTTAAGATTGTAGTGGCCAGAAAAGCATCCTCTTGGGAGTTGGTCCCACAAATTAGTCATTTGTGGGAAGAAGTTGTTCAAGTGAAAATTCCTTCTTACTAATAGTATATGAAATGAATGGGGATGACTTAACTCAGTGTACGTGGTATGGAGGTTAGTATTGGTGGAACTAAGGAATATAGCTCATCAGAACATTTTCCAAGGAAATAGCAATAATGTAGTGAGAAGCTTGCAGGGAAAGTGTTTGTTGGGTAGAAAATAATTCATCACCCACAACCTCACATAGACTCTTTTGAACTCTATCAAATCTGGAAAGAGAAGACTAGGCAACTCCAGTTCCGATATATACCAGTTTTGAACTGATCTGTCTCTTGTAGAGATAGAACATAGCAGGAGTCAAGGAACCATCCGTTTTTCAAACATTTTCCAGCAAGTTTGTATTTCTTTGACTGATTAAACAGGGAAAATTATTCATTTTATGTCCACACCTATGTATAGTTGACAACAAAATTGAAAATTCATGGATATTGTTTATATTTTTACTGAGGCATGTTCAGTTAGCAAGGTCAAATTTACTGTATTTGAACTTCAAACTTCTCTGAAGCTCTCATGTACATTCACATCTGCTCATGGCGTATCAAATGTAAACAAATGATGTCACACATTACGAAATGGACAAAGTCCGACAATTATTTTAAGACGTTTTTATTTATTTTTATTTTATAAGTTCCATGCTAAAAGTTCCTTTTCTCAGACTTCTCACTTATAGAACTCTGTTCCAGATCCATGCTTTCCAGCCAACATTAACTTAAAAAATTTAAATGTAATGTCAATCATTATCTACTGTTTCACTGATTACTGTTCTATTCTTCTCACACCCAATAGTCCCTTGTGTCTTAGTTGATTTAGTGCTTTGTATGTGGTGAATTTGATTAAAAAATCTGTTCAAGAAAACATTCCATGTGCCCACAATACTATCACTTTGTCTATGTAAATATACAATGTGGCTCTCTCATAGCCTTTCACTGATCAGATAATAAAATCCCATATATTTTCTATTCTCATTAGCCTCAGTTTGCATAAAAGCTATGAAAGTCCTAACGCATGCCTAAGACATAATGCAGAGTGAATATAAGTGTCACAGTGAAAGTAATTACACAAATAGTGTTTCAAAGATATTTTTGTTATTTATTCCAGAGAGTCACGTGTTCAGTCTGAGTAGGTAGGTCGATAGGTATGTGACAATTTAGGACAATTTCTGTCACTTCAGCTTGCTTGTTTGCTTAGCAGCATATCAATTTCTTATTTAATGCTGAAATTTAATTTTCTTGGGAGCATTACTAATTTTCTTTACAAAAATGTATTGCTGCTAATTTTTTTCAAAAATATGTATTGATTGTAATTATTTTTACTATGAAAATGCATTGCTATTATTTTTATACTTTCATAGTATATTGAGCCCCTGTTTGGTGGGCAGGGGTAAGTATTTGCCCATACCTGGGACCCTAACAGGTGCTACCACCCTGAGTCAGGGTGAACTTGGGAACAACAGCAATTAAGACATCCAATCTCCCAAACAGAGGCTTTGCTGCTGGATGTAGTTTATTGGATGACTATCACTTCAGATAGTACAAACTAATAGATCAGCTTTTCCCCTCAACAAGCAAGTACTCTGATTTTTTCTTACCAACTGTTTGCCCATCTGTACATCACTACATGTGGCTAGCAAATCTAACAGGTGGCATTAGAACTACCTTGACGATTAGCTTTCATCTAGTAATGGGCAGCCTAACACTTTTGAAACCTAACTGTAACTGTTAATATAAACCTACAGCTGGAAGTCTTGAACATCTGGTTTATTGTCGCTTGTTCACAAGAAACCACTTGCCTGAGAAAAAAAAAAATGAATATAGCAGAAATGAAAGTAAAAAAAGTTACTTACGCTCTGAAAGTCTGAGGAATAACAACAGGGAATGTCCCACCTGACCATCCATTTGCTGAAAACCAACGTTGCACAGCATTCAATACGTTTTGGTGATAAGGACCAATTTTCCTGTCATATTCAGGGAAAACATTATTGTCAATCACACAGGTAGTCTTGCTTGGACATATGCTTGGAGATGAAGATGCATTTTGATCTCTTTCTTGATCACTGAAGCCAAAATCAGATGGTCTTTCTGGTCGGAGAAAAATAAGATCAATCTATAATATGATTTCTCTGTGTGTGAGTGGAGGTGTCAGTGTCATCAGTTGTCCAAGAAAAATGACATTTAACACCTAGCAGTTATTCTCAGCAAAAAGGAAAATCATTTCTTAGGAATATATGATTAAATACACCAAAGTAGCTACTGTGAGATGTTAACTATGTCTTAACACAAATTTTTGCAACAAACAGCTTTTGTTTTAAAACATTCTTTATCCTTATTTTTGTGTAAATTTACCAGAGAGAATAGAACAAAATTTGAAGACTTTCATGATGCAATTTTATGGCATCATTAAATTGAAAGAAAAAGTTTTATCCACTTGATGATTGCTACAGTTGATTATGAGGACAATGATGATATAATAGTCTACATCTAATAAGTGTTGTAAGATACTTAAAATAATGAAAGTATTGTAAGATACTTATACTTAAAGATTGGTGAAGAATTCTAATAGATGTTACTACTCAAGATGGTCCTAGATCTTTTATGTGCAAAGTACAAAATAGTTAATTTAAATTGAAAAAGTAAGACTTTTTCACATTTTTGTGTCATACCTAAATGTTTATGTATACATGTTTGAGGCATTTTTAGAAATAGGTTGAGGTGATAGAGAAATAAATAAATACAAAAAAATAAGAAAACCAAAATTTTACCATCCCTAAAAATAGACAGATAATAAAAATCGCCAGGCAAACAAAGCCATAGTTTGACCAACCAATCAGAATGCTTTGACAACTAGAATTTAAGAAAAAAAATAAACAAATAACAAGGAAACCAAAATTTTACCATCAATAAAAATAGAGTGTTCAATCAACCAATCAGAAATCTTTCACAACAAGGATATGAAGTCATAAGCCAATAAGAAGCAAGTGGCCTTTTCAAAATGAATCTCTAGATGTGTGTATATAAACAAATGAAAATATCAAAGTTGATAAATTAATTTTGTCCATTCTATAATGTTGTGGTTGTTATAATATATCCAACAAATAGCTGATGACCTTATAAGGTTATATCATCATTGCAACATTGTAAATAAACATATCTCCCTTCATCACATGGTCAAAGCAGTGATTACTACATTAGGATACATATACACATGTACATTATATATATATATATATATATATATATATATGTTTGGGTGTATGTGCAAATTATTTTCAGGTAGAGTGTATCTGTAAAGGAACAAAATGAATAAAAAGACAAGAGTAAAAACTATTCTTAGCCTCTAAGAGATATTATCAATGATGCTATTGCCATGATAAAGTTCCTCAGAGGCTGAAATGCATGAGCTAAGAATTGTTTTCCTCTTATCTTTTATATATATATATATATATATATATATATATGAATAAAAATGACAATAGGAAAACTAGTAATTGCTGACGGGTTTCGTCCAATGTGGACGAAACGTGTCAGCAATTACTAGTTTTCCTATTGTCATTTTTATTCATAAATATTGTCTTCTCTACTGTTTAATCTGAGAAAAATTTTCATATATATATATATATATATATATATATATATATATATGTACTTCCTAGCAGACTCTACCTATCTCTCATATCTACCAAGATTTTTACATCTAAACTCTTGAAATTTCAACTGTATCCTTTTATATTATTATATTATGATATATAAAGATTTCATATCTTTCTACACATTGTGCATTATCTTTTTCATCATGATACAAGACCAATATATCCAAATCAATTATACTGCTATATGGGGGTAATGGACATTCTTGTCCACAAAATATCAATTTAAAATTAGGTGGAGACAACACCAATGTTCCTTCAATAATATTAGGTACTGAAACCAAACATTCCTATCCAAATATTTTTGGCATTTAAGAGAAACAAATAAAACACCAACAGTAAAATAGAAAATAATAAACAGAACAAGAACTTGTAGAACTTTGGAAGACCAATGTCCTTTATTGCTAAATGAAAAGCTATACATTATTAAGTTTCTGAAAAACAAAAATGTATTAAATCAAAGAAATGAAATGGTGGTGTTCTGTAGAAACTGCCTCATATATTCTTTAAGAAATAATTAACGAATAAAGAAATAATTTACACATATTTATATCTATTCTTGATCAAAAAATAATTTTAAAAATTTTTAAAAATTAATAAGAATATAATTAAATCCTAAAATATAAAAATTTTACAATACCATATATAGTCTATTAGCAAATTTAATTTAGACATGTATAAAATTAAAAATATAACTCAATCATACCTAAATACCCTTTAAGAAACTATCAATGCAGCCGGATAGAGAAGACAATTAACAAATAAACAAACACCAAAAGATTGTAATGTAGACAAGCCTGATAAAAGTTAGTGTAACCAGACAAAAATCATGCCCCCCCACCAACCTTAAATGACACCAAAAACTTGGCAAACAATAAACATTCCTGCTCTCTTCATTTATAAAGCCAGCCAAGACCCCCTGATAAGAAATAGGAACGTTCATACAACAACCTTTCCTAACTTAAAAATTGAGTAAACTGATTTTTCCGTAAGTTATTCTTAACATCACTTGAGAATGAAACTGTGCTCTAAATTTTGAAACTGATCTTGAGTTTCGATTTTGAAACAGTAATTTCTGTGTTGTGATGGAGATATATTTTTAAAAAAATAATTATAATATTATACTCTACTTTGTATAGGGCACTGCTTTTAAAAAAATAAAACAAAAACACTAAAGAATTTTGTATTATAAACCTGACTGTTCTTTCCTATTACTTGGATATATAGAAACACACACGTGTGTGTGTGTGTGTGTGTGTGTACATACATACAGAGAGAGAGAGAGACAGAGAGAGAGTGTTCCCAGGCAAGGGAGACCATCATTAGATCCATTGTGCTTTAGACCTATTAGACATTATGTCCAATGATGATCAATTGAAATTGAATAGTGTCTTTAAACATAAATCTTTCCTGGACTCTTCAAATATACATATCTGCTATGCTGAATGGACCATAGGTGGGTTTTCAGTGAGATCGCATAATCTGCCAGGTTCAGCAGTTTGGTCAATGCCACTGAGTTTAAAACCTTGCTCACAAAGACTTGTATCTTCAATATATATATATATATATATAGACAAACCTAGAGAGCCAGATAAACCTACCAAGACGATCTGCTTAGGTGAAACTTTGGTAGGTTTGTCTGGCTCTCTAGGTTTGACTAGGTCTGGTCTACTTTTGTATTGAGCACTTTTTTAGTTAGTTGATTACACGTATTGGGTTTTTTTTCTTTGGGCTTTGAACCTGTATGCTGTACGATTATTTTCAACAGACGTTCATATTCTTAGCTCTTTCTTTTTTAAAACCTTTTTTTCCTTTGAAATTGATTTGACCATTAGCAAATCAAGAAACCGAAGGTTTTCCGAGATGAGTATAGTTACCTATATATATATATATATATATATATATATATATATATGTGAAAGATTTAATGGCAAGAGATAGACACTTATAAAAGATTCATGTTTTTGAGCATTTATCATTGATTTACAACCAAATGTTTTGCTTAACAGCTTCTCAATCATAGTACAAACCTGATAGGTTTGGTGATTTGTAAACAGTAGAAGAGTTGGCATGAAAGTTTGAACTGGAAGTAGGAGTACTTGTTTCACTGATGCAGCCCATGTATATGTGATAGGGAACACATACTGCTTCACCAGTGTCCATGCTTTCATCTGAACTGTTCTTCTGACCTTTAAGTGACGTACCCTATAAAAACAAAAATCAAGGCTGTAATGAAAAAACATTCAGAAAAAAATGAAATTATTGCCCTTCAACTGAACTGAATTGACATATTTTGCATAGAAAACATTAAAATTTCCTTCCTCTCTGCTGTGCAACAATAGCCTAGGGAGAGAATCTCTGACTGATACTAAATCGGTCGGGTTTCAATCCTGGCTTGAAAGAATTGGACGTCTAGCCACACTGAAGAGCTGTGATACAGTGAACAGTCTGTATATGGATGATAATATATATATATATATAGAGAGAGAGAGATAGAGAGAGAGGGGGGGAGAGAGAGATAGAAAGAGAGAGAGAGATTTCACAATATATATATTGTATAATAAAGACAAACTAGAATGCTATAAGAACAGTGCCAATAAGGAATTGTGTATCTCATCACTTGTACTGCCTGATAATTGTGAGGCATCCGCATAACCACCTAGGTTATGGAAGGGTACTAACGTATGAATATTGATTTTCTTTACTATAATTTTTACAAGAAATGGATATGAGAGGAAAGTGTTTAGCATGAGGTTTTATTTAAAATTAGATATGGGCACTAGATTTCGCTATCAGGTTATCATACCACCCAGGAATCACGTCAGCTAATTTCAGCAGGAACTCTTGTGACATGGAAGACATAACTTCTTGTATTTGCCCTTTGAGTTCTTCCAATGTCTTGGTTTGGTATAATAGACTTGCTCCTTTAACCAACCCCAAAGAAAGAAGTACATTTTAGCATGGGATAATTATCTAAAATGACTTGAACCAATCAATAAAAGTCTTAATAGTTATACTAACAATCTGTTAATGTCCAAAAAGAAATGATTGGCCAACAAAGCTTCTATATATGCTAAATTCATATATGCTTGTTAATAAAATAATTATTAAAATTAGAAAAGGTAATGATTAGAGATTAATTTCTTTATTTACTGATTGTTAAAATACTTAATACAAAGAGAACAAAGAATAAAGCAAACATTTAGACATTTGCAAAATTTCTGACAAATCAAGTAATTTTTTTGAAAAACTTTATAAATAACAAATTTAGTGTAAATGATTATCATTTCACATACCAGTTTAATTTTATCCCTTTAAAAATGAGCAACTGAATACAAAACTGATACCTATTTTTTTCCAGTGATCCTTTTTGAAAATGAGCAACTGAATACAAAACTGATACCTATTTTTTTCCAGTGATCCTTTTTGAAAATGAGCAACTGAATACAAAACTGATACCTATTTTTTTCCAGTGATCCTTTTTGAAAATGAGCAACTGAATACAAAACTGATACTATTTTTTTCCAGTGATCCTTTTGAAAATGAGCAACTGAATACAAAACTGATACCTATTTTTTTTTCCAGTGATCCTTTTTGAAAATGAGCAACTGAATACAAAACTGATACCTATTTTTTTCCAGTGATCCTTTTTGAAAATGAGCAACTGAATACAAAACTGATACCTATTTTTTTCCAGTGATCCTTTTTGAAAATGAGCAACTGAATACAAAACTGATACCTATTTTTTTCCAGTGATCCTTTTGAAAATGAGCAACTGAATACAAAACTGATAATTTTTTTTCCAGTGATCCTTTTTGAAAATGAGCAACTGAATACAAAATTGATAATATTTTTTTTCCAGTGATCCTTTTGAAAATGAGCAACTGAATACAAAACTGATACCTATTTTTTCCAGTGATCCTTTTTGAAAATGAGCAACTGAATACAAAACTGATACCTATTTTTTTCCAGTGATCCTTTTTGAAAATGAGCAACTGAATACAAAATTGATACCTGTTTTTTCCCAGTAATTCTTTTTAAAAATTAGAGACTGAATACAAAATTGAAAACTGTTCTTCTTTTGAGAAAATTTGGAAATCTATTCATGAAAAAGGTATTATTTTAATGGAATTTTATAAAAAGAGTAATGGGGGATTATGTTGATATGGTGATGTGATAATTAAGTAAAATTTACGAAATGTCTGCTCACCAAAGAAAATTAAGTTTAGTCACCTATTGTAGAGTAGCTTTTAGTAAAGTTGTCTCTCAGATCAAATCAGTGATGAAGTGACTCCAATCATTACAATATACTCCCATCAACTAATTTGGTTTTGTGCCAGTCTAAGCTTAACTGTTTAGTGCTTTAAGGGTACTGCATATTCCTCAATGGCACTCGTCATCAATGTTCAAATCATTGAAAAATCCTGGATGACAAATACTGATGTTCATGGCAGATTGACTCTACCCATATTAGAAGATTGGTACAACACAATTTTCTCATGCATAATATATACAATTTCGATTTATACTGTATGAAGGTAAACTTAGTAAATATTGAGAAAATTAAGCTGGATTCTTCATATACAAACACACAAAATATATCATTGTTATTATATGTACACACAGTATTAATTACATTTGCTGACCTGAATGTATCAGAAATGTAAATAATACTGTTTAACTAAAAAACAAAGCAATTACTTAAATAAATTATATCTATAAAAATAATGTATAAATGGAAATATATATATATATATATATATATATATATATATAACACCTGTGGAGATGTGAGATGGAAAGATAAGTTTCTGAAATTTTAATTTTATTTGCTTACTATTAATGCTCTATGACGAGCCAATTTTCAAAAAAATTCACTTATCTCATCTTGGAATGATGATAAATTACATTTGGCTGCAAGGCCTCTGATTGGGAGAGTGGAGGTTTTATGGGTGTGGAACCACCTTTTAATTGCTGTTGTTCCCAGGTCCACCATAATCTGGGGTGGTAGCACCAGTTAGGGCCCCAGCTATGGGCAAAAAGTGAACCCACAAGCAAAAAACAACAGCAGATTTTTATAATAAAATGACAATGTAATACTAAAATATAAAAATACATTTTTATAGTAAAATTACTAACAATGCATTTTTTGAACTACAAATAATATATCTAAACATATCTTTACATTGAAAGTATAAAATTATGTACAAAATATATGTAGTTGAAAGCATAAAATTTCATCATTAAATAACCCATAGAAGTTGATATATCACCAAACAAAATCAAACAATCAATGGGGAAGAACTTTCATGACAATGGTTCATATAATTTCCCACAATTTCTTAAACAGTATTCCAAAATAAAACTAGAACATAAAACACACACATACCACCACCTCTAGTAATCATGTCCACGCACAAAAGCTGAGTATCATCTACCATGTATTGAATTGTGAAAGCAGAATAACGTATATTATATTTTTATTACTTCAAAGCTCCCAAGAAAATTAATTTTCAGCATTAAATGAACTATAATGAGTTGATATGCTGTTAAACAAACAAATCAATCAGTCAGTCAGTTAGCATCCCTCTTAACTAGTCTGATCCAAAGTCCTAATAGTGAGCACTTCATGAGGATTGAACTCAAGACACAAATGAATTGATCTGTTTACTAACAGGCTAAGCTTAATTAGTTGTTAATATGTAATAATGATACTTACAGGGGCACAAACGATGTGGTAGTCCTGTTGATGACTAGCAAAGAAACTGTAACAGGTCAGCAAACAATTATCTGCTGTGGCCACAACAGAAAGATTGAATCTAGTAATAAAAAAATAAGTTTCATGTCAAAAGGAAGAATTAACTCAGACAAAACTTAGAATTTGCTTGTTTTTTTCCTCTTCTAAGACCTTCAGGCTTATGGAGATAACTATGTCTCTATTTATAAGGATAATAATGTAAATGCAATGTATATGAGTTCAGTTATCCTGTTAGATTAGGCTCAGTCATATTGTTTGTGTCCAAATATTGTGGTGAATTTAAAACAAAATGTTTGCAAAAAATACTTATTCTATAGTGGGCAACATCGTATATACCAAAAGTGCAACATGTATTTGAGAACTCATATTTGACAGTTCATAAATAGAAGACCACCTCATATAATGTTAGATGGTATGTTCCAAATTATTACATTCTTGTTTTTCTTTTAAATGTATCAAGAGCAGCTTCCAAATTGGCAGAGGAAATGAAAAGCCATGTTGTTTTTATGACACCAACTGTCAACCACCGTAACTCAGAGTCACATTCTTGGAAGTGACTAGGTTTGGTTTGGTTCATTTATGGCATATCAACCTCAATGGGTTATTTAATACCGACAAGAATTTTATTGCTGGTAATATTTTTTCCAAAAATGTTTTGCTGGTAATAATGTATTGTTTGGAATAACTATTTTTTCTTCAAAATTCATTGCTGGTAATAATTTCTTACAAAAATATTGCTGGTATTAAAAACTGTTTTTACACTTTCATAGTGCTTTGACATCAGTTTGTGGGTTAACCATTTGCCCATAACCAGGACTCTAACAGGTGCTACCACCCCAGGTCAGGGTGGACCTGGGAACACCAGCAATTAAGAGGTGGTTCCATGCTTCTCAAAACATCCTGATCAGAGCCTTTGCTGTTGGATGTATCTTACCCGGGACACAAAGTGACTAGGTCCTTACTATTCAAGGTTAGGGATGAGCTTGAGGCCTCTGGTGAGGACATGTCATCCATGACCAAAAGGAATATTTAAAATGATCAGATGTTGAATGAATAGCTGAGTCTGTCGAGCAGGTGCTGGATACCAATTTCTTTAATCCCCGCAAGTTGATGAGTGCCATTGAAGAGAAGCTCAAGGTGGTAGAGTGCACAATCTGATGTGTGGTACAGACCAATATCAGAAACAAATTGTGGGTTTGGTATGTTTCGTTGCAGCCCATTTGGCATCACTGATTTGGCATCAGAAAAATAATTGGACTATTTAACAGGGCGTTTAGGCATCAGACTGTTTCGATGACACTGTCTTTGACCGGAGGCAACCCCAAAAAGGATAAAAGCATTGAAAACACCCAACTTTCAATATGATTTTTTATTCATTTAAGGAATTAAGGATCCTATTAAAAACTAATGGAATAATGTAAATTAAAAACTGAAATTAAAAATATTGTATTTCAAAAAAAATGTAAAAAATCAGTAAAGCTATTTAATCTTAGAAATTATTTCTTCATTTCATAATTATGAGCAACACCCTTCAGGAATTCAATAGGATCTAATGATTCAACTTCCATTATGATGCTTTTTGATTTGTTCATCAGCATCTCTATATTTTTTTAGGTTTTTGGTGGTTGGATATCTAGTGATCAGCTTTTCAAGAAATGCATCATGTCCTTTCTGAACTTCCTGTAAGGCAACAATAAATTAAACTGAAAATACCTCCAATTACTCCTTTTCTTAAATTGGACTATTCGAGCATATAATGACAAAGTACTAATTTGACTATTCAATGAGAGAGAGAGAGAGAGAGAGAGAGAGAGAGAGAGAGAGAGAGAGAATTTGACTATAACAATAAAATAGTAATCTGACACCTAATCATTTCTCTGCCGAAAAATTCCTATGTCGAATTTGCTATGCCGAATCAGCAAGGACAAATGAGCTGCACCGGAATGTTCCATTCCCACAAATTGTATCTGATGATAAGAATGCAGTTTATTTTTGCCTGAATTCCTCACATGAGAAGTTATAATTATTTACATGATTTACATTCGGACTATTGTCCTTTGTTGTACTTATCACAGCCTTTCAGCTGTTGTGTCATCAAGGCTTATTCAGATGTCTGTTGAACTGGTGATGGAATTTTAAATTAGTTGAGTTATTAATCTACATGCAGTTTGTCCTTGTTCTGTTTGTATGAGTATCTTGTTTATTTCTACTTTTACTACTGCTCCTTGTTTCCACTGAGTCTGTACAATGCAGAGCCCAGGAACTGAACTCTTTGGATTCAATGAATCTCAGTCTGCACAATCCAGTGCAAAGATTGAACTCATCCTTATTTAATATTGCTCAAATTTACTCCTGGTTTCCACTATCTCAATCTGCTCAAGCCAGCTCAGTGATTGAACTCACAATTACTATGTCACCAAATTTAATCCACAAGGCTATTATCCCAATCCTTAGTCTAAAACTTGGAGCTTTAAGCCTCTCTACCTGCTACTGACTCTGCTGGTGCTTTTGATTGTTATGTCCAACTACATCCACTAAGGCTTCTTATTTTTCTTACAGCTGCTGTTAAAGTTTTCTTTTCATTTATCTTTATTTAATAATGGCTTCCATATTGTGCAGTTCATATTCAATAAAAACTACAATAACCATGAGATCTAATCAGAGTACTCTCTTTTACCAAATACAAGTGCCATCAGGAATAGTCAGGCCAAGAGAAATTTTTTTCAACTTATTAAATAAATCATGCTGCCGAGAAAACTATTTAAAAAAAAAATAAACATTCCATGCCAAATAAGCACCATGCCAGGGGAGAAAAATGTAAAAAATAATTTAACTTAAGTAGCATTTGTATTTGTTATGAAAGAATCAGTCAGTCAGTTAAGTGCCATACATGAGACATGTTTGGGCAATCATGTATCTTTTGATACACAGCTGACAAGGCAAATTTTTTCCCTGCAGAAGGTTGCCATTTCTTTCTATAGTAGACTTGTTGCCAACCAAAGTTAAAGAATCCAGTCTGTCTTGCTATTTTACCCATAGCTGGAGGGAGAAGAGATGGATTCATACATTTCCCCTGGGGTATTTGTGCCTAAGTGAATCTAAAAAACTCAACTGGAATTCGAACTTGGTTCTCACTCGGAGCCAATATCCATTACACTACAATACACATCCATTTATTTACTTAACCAAATAAGATTGTTTTCATAGCTTAGTTAAGGCAAATAAATATATCTTTAATGTTTTGATGTAAACTGTAGCCAGTGTTCATTGCCTATAGGATGGACTCCATCAGTAAACCAGTTCTTTGAAAATATTATTTCTAAATGAAATATGTCATAACAGTTTTCCATTTTATCATTTATTTCAGTCATTTAAGTGCCATACATGATACACGGTTGGGTAATCATGTATCTTTCAATACATGACTGACGAGGCAGATTTTTTTCCCATAGTAGGTTGCCATTTCTTTCTGTGGTAGACTGGTCACCAAACAAGGCTAAAGAACCTACTATTCAACCCATATCTGGAGGGGAAGAGATGGATTCATACCTTTCCCAAGGGTATTTGTGAGTAAGTGAATCTAATGAATGGGACTGGAAATTGAACTCGGCTCTTCGAGTTCTCACTCCAAGGTGATATCCATTACACCACAACACACATCCAAAGTAATTGCTGAAAAAGCTCACATATACAGAGAC